AAATTTAACATGCTGTTATTATTATTTAATTTGTGTTCCTCGTCTGTTCTATCTTGCGTTTGTATTTCGGTACCCGTTCTGCTTCCTTGGCTCTGTACTGCTCCTTCTCAAGAACAATTATTTTATTTACTTTTTCTTCTGTAAGATCGTTTTATTTTCTTGCCTTTGAATTGCAGGATCCGATGCTTTTATTCTTCCAGTTAAAGATGATGACATTTTTTTAGACTTATCCATATTAGAATTATTAAGCAAACGCAGTTGACGTATTGCACTTAAACATAAAGATACAACAAGTAGAATTTGGGAAAAACAATCTATTCCCTAAAGCTCCAAAATTATAGTCTCATAATTCATTAAATACAAACCTAAAGTGCCATTTCGCCTCGAAATATTTTTTCCCCCATTCATTTTCTTGATAAACTTTTAACTCCAACATTGCATATGCACTAGGCTGAGATGTTTCCTGAAGTAATTTAAATAGTGCCAAGTGTTCATTCTGAGTTATTAATTATGTAAAGTTCTATAAAAATATTTTTATTCTCAATGATAAGAATAAAAGAAATTGCAACCCATATATTTTAAAAGTACAGTCAAACCCCGCTATAGTGAACACGGCTTACAGTGAACTCCCGGATATAGTGAACGAAATGCTCGGTCCCGTGCCTTGCTATACACGTATGTTATTTTTAGTGGATATAGTGAACCAAAAAAGTGAGGAAGTTGGATGTAATGAACTTTTTTCTGTCTTCGACTGACTTACCCCCTCCCATTTTCTTTGCAATAATTTTGAAATTTCTACTTCAAAATAAATATATATATACCGATTTTTAAAACCAACTATAGAAACTACTTTTATGCTCTCGAATGGCAGGTTAGACAGGTTCAAAAAGCGGAATAACAGAAATTCAGGAAAAATTATCTGAGAGTCGGGAAGTGTTTCCATATCTGATGTTGAGGATTGCTCATCAGCTAAAGATTACTAATTTTTTTTGTACGCAAGACGAAGAGTGATGAAAAATAACACATTTTTTGCTACTACATAATATTTTTCAGTCATTTATATGAATATAATATAATAAAAGGGAGGAGTTTGGGAACCGTTAGTGAAATTGCCTGCGTAACGGATATAGTGAACTCCCGGTTATAGTGAACCGAAATTTCGTTCACTATAGCGGGGTTTGACTGTATATTAAATTTTTTCTTTTAATCTCATGAGAAACAAAAGACCCTCTTTTCCCAATCTTGCCGGTGATGAAGTTAGATTTAAGGTCTGACAAAATTATTATTATTTTTTGCAAACAATTAACACTTACATTGCTCTAATTGAGCTCTGAACGCGCTAACTAGTCGGAAAGGAGTTGAAAATTTGAACTGGCAATAAATTCCTTTAGGTAAAAATTCTGTTTGTCAAGAAACGATCGAAACTTGTAAAGTCATCCAGTACTAAAATCTCCACTTAAAAGTTCATTCCAGCTAAGTGGTAAAAAATTTGACAGTAAGATCTTATTCTCGATAAGAAGGTAGAGATAGAAATTTTTGTTAAACGAATAAACTGAGCTCCATGGCGCGACCGCCCATAGAGGGCCAAGGCCTACTGTGCCTATCACAGTTTTGTTGACCTTGGGCTCTGGGGTGCAGGAGCAGATGGTCAGCCGAACGTGAAACCCCCAGTGTTTCGCTCCCAAGCATGCTTGGTACTCATTTATCCACCCACTGAAGGGATGAAAGATTGAGTCAACCTTGCCAAGCCCGAGGATCGAACAAAGGACCTGTGGCACGGGAGCGCGAAGCGTTACCACTCTGCCACCGGGCGTCTGTCAAAGTAATACGTCAATTAAAGATTGTGGTCAAAATTCGGATTAAGAATAAGTTACATTAAGAAAATAAATTCTGTTTGCAGCAGGACAGAAACGTCACCAGACACGGTGCTCCAGTAAAGATTTGAGTGCTCTAGCTAGTCGTAAATGGTTCAAAATTTCCACATACATACCCACAGAGAGAGAGAGAGAGAGAGCACAAAATAATAATAAATAAATAAATGCATCTTAAAAAACTTTATTTGATAGCAATTTTACAAATTTCAATGCAACAATTTTTTTCAGCTGAACAAATTTATTTTTGACTTTGTAGCAAAATAGACAATAAATGGATGGTATCAACAATTTTTTAGAAAGTATTTTTTTATTTCTCTGCATAATAATATCAATTTTACATGAAAACTCTTTCACATGAAAAATGTGGTTCTTTACAGATTTCTATTAAAAATAACCGTACGCTGACATTTAAGATAAGTTTTAATAGGCATTTATTATTGTTTGGAATAAAATTACAATCTCGATATCATTTGAAATTCCATGCAGTTAATAAAATTCTCTTTTTAGAACATTTTTGATTGAAACTGGAGGGAATGAAGTCATGATGAGTGAATGATGTTTATAATTTATTTCAAACGGTTGTTGCTGTTTATTTGATCCGTGATTTTGGCATAAATAAGCAAAATTTTAAAAAAGATTCAAGCATTAAAAAAAAAANTTCAAGCATTAAAAGAAACCCAATTGTTCAACAATAAAGTGAGGGGCATGCAGGGAGGAGGGGGGTCATAGAGGCATGCAATGAATTCCTAAAACGTGGTCTGTAACTGTTATTTTTTTTATTTTTTTATCACGAAATTAAATATTTTAACAGATAAATATTTGGTTTTAGGATAAATTAAAGGAAGAATAATATGATTTTTTTGAATAAATGCATTTAATACAGTTGAACCTAGCTAGCGCGAAACCGCTTAACGTGAAATATCGCTTTACATGAAACGCTCCCGTGAGTCAGCAAAAAATTATTGTTGTATTTTTTACATGTCTAACATGAAATTTTCATGCTGATTATCGCTTAACGTGAAAACTGTTTACAAAGCACAAATAATAAGCATGTGAATAGAATCCCAATAATTTATTTCGATAGTTTAATGAAGTAGTTAAAACTTTTAAACTTATTTTAATTTGTTTGGTTCATTATAATATTGTTTGAATACTTTAATGAAGTGCATAACATGTACTAATAGTACGTAATAAATTATTTTCATGATGTATCGGATAAGACGAAATTCGGTTAAGATGAAATAATCCCGTCGATTTCGCGTTAGCGAGGTTCAACTGCAATGGATTTGTTTAAAGAGAAAGATCACCTTCAAGATGTTCTTTAAGAAAAACAAGTCAGTTAGGATTTTTTACGACATATAGAATAATTTCTGCATATTAGGACTGGGCGATGTTAAGATTTTGCCATCGCGATGCATCGTCACGCTAGTACAGCTTATATTTACTACTGCTTAAATTCATAATTAGTAAGCATTTTTTTAAAAATCAACGTAGCATTTTTTAATAATTATTTCTCAATATTTAAAGACATGGAGACGAGCTTGCAGACACATCGATGTACTATCGGGTACAAAGCTCAACATTGCGCACGTAGACATCGATGTCAACGATGCATCGGGAAATATCGTACACATCATCACAATTACCGATGCTTCGAAAAACTGCCAATCCAAACATCGGATTGGTGATGATTGCATAGAATCGATATTTTCCGATGCATCGATTTATCGCCCAGTCCTACGGCATACACTTTCTTAAAAAATTGTAGATTACGATTCCAATGTTTTTTTTTTAAAGTTAAATAGTTTTATCTCCTTAGTGATCACTCTTTTCAGAATCTTATAATCCTCCCTCTCTCCAACCACTGCACTATCAGAAATCTTTTAAAAAAACTTATTCTAAAACTGTTTAAAGGATACAAACTAAATAAAAAGCTACTTCACGCAGCTTTTGACATACAGTTCCTGGTCAAAATATTCGACGCACTGTAAGATTCTATGTAAAATCTTAATTATCAGGTGATACTATACAGCTTTATTGTTTTTATGTGGCTGAAACCCGTTTGTACTTGTTTACGTTAGTGTATCAATTGGTTAAATTAGATTAATATATAATATAAATTTGACTATAGGTAAAATGAGATGACATATTATATAAATATAGAATAGTTATTATATCAGGTATTATACAAGTATATTATAATAATTAGATCAAATTATTAGACGCACTGTAGTTTTTTAATAATTACATGATTTGCACGAGTTTGTATGCAATACTGATGCACTTAAACATACATGTAATGTGTTTTTATTCTGGAGATTTCTTTATATGCTTCCTATTTGTATTTATTTTGAACGTATTGCATTACAATGTCAACCATTTGATACACGAACGTAAACAAGTGCAAACCGGTTTCGACCGCGTAGAAACAATAAAGCTGTATAGTATCAACTGATAATTAAAATTTGACATAGAATCTTATAGTGCGACGAATAATTTAGCCAGCGACTGTTTTTCCATAGAATTCTTTCTTTAAATGAACAATTTGAATCTTAATGCAATTGTATTTCGATTACAGTTCTAACGTTGTATAGAGGGTAACGTAAGGAACCTGGTGGACTCTTTCTTTACCTGCATTTAGAATTATTCATTATTCTGAAACAGTTTTTAAAAATTTTGCTGTCCTTTTTTTTAAAAATTATTTATCCACCAAAAAAAAAAATGGATTTGGTTTTTTTGTTGATAAAACATCGGGTTTCTTGCTAAGAATGGGCAAGATGCAGGATCTCTACGATTTAATTAATATTAAAAGGAAAAAAAATGAAAGGCACATTATCAAATTTAAAAATGAGCATCTATTTTTCCCCCTGTGCCAATTCATTGTCGCCTTTAAGTATTAAACACCCACATCACAGTATGACAAATTCATGATCACGAAATAGATGCGAAATAAAAAATGAAATGATAACAATACTCTTTAGGTAACACTCTAGTAACTACTCATGATTGAAGAGAAAAAAGTGACAAATAAAAAGTCTTAAATATACATAAAACGTGACAAAATATTTGGCATATGTATCACGATTTGCTCACTGTTTTATTTTTTCCCCCTCCAAGTGAAATTTTTTAATCAATACCATTATCCATGACGCTGTCCTTACGACGCACATATAGCTTGCCTTTTTGCCACAGTCCAGTTAGTTTCATTGGCTGAAAATCGTCGTTAAGACACCTTTCACGAGCACCGGCTGTAGCAACGAGGCAAAAATTGTGACATTCCCCGTCATCGTATATAGGTCCATCCTTGCCTTTTACTTTCACAGCTGTATTCAGCTGCTTCACTGTACACACCACCACATCACTCGCCGTCGTCTGGGGGGTAACGTACAGCAGTACACTGTATCCACTCGGCAGTCCAGTTTCATAGTCGGCGTACACGCGTATGATGTCTGATTCGCTGTCCTCGTCGTCTCGCGAGTCGGTATTAAGTCTTCCACTCATTTCAATGTCGGCAGAGGACAGCGACTTGAGACTACCGGCGTACGAGCTGCGGAGGCTGCTTCTGTTCTCAAATAGTCTCTCTGCACTGTGAGCTGTTTTTAAACAGTCTCCGTTGCAGACTACATGAGTGATGGGCAGACGAGAGGTGGACGAACATCGTCTTATTTGTCGCTTTCCCGATGTTCTGACAGAAGCTCTGTTGATCTCTTTGTTGGAAATCATGGGTGAATTGTCGGGAGAACAGGCATTCGTCCACACGTCCTTGAGAGAAACGCCGTTCGAACCTTGTTTGTCCCTGGCAAAGGTCAAGACATCCATGATCCACCGAATCGCCCTCCACATGTTGTCCACTTGAGTTTGGAACTCTTGCAACTGGTTTAGGCGTGTTTTAGCTTCTGACAGTTCAGAAGATGAAAACGCCTGCAAAAAAAGTACACTTAGAGATCAGATATTCTTACGAACCTAACCTTAAACATGCTAATTAATTACTGCAGACACTTTAGAGATCAGATTTTTTTACGTACCTAACCTTAAACATGCTGATTAATTACTGCAGACACTATTTCAAGCACACTTAGAGATCAGATATTTTTATGTACCTAACCTTAAGCATGCTGATTAATTACTGCAGACATTATTTGAAGCACACTTAGAGATCAGATATTTTTATGTACCTAACCTTAAACATGCTAATTAATTACTGCAGACACTATTTCAAGCAAACTTAGAGATCAGATTTCTTTACGTACCTAACCTTAAGCATGCTAATTAATTACTGCAGACACTATTTCAAGCACACTTAGAGATCAGATACTTTTATGTACCTAACCTTAAGCATGCTAATTAATTACTGCAGACAATATTTCAAGCACGCTTAGAGATCAGAATTTTTTGTGTACCAAACCTTAAACATACTAATTAATTACTGCAGACAATATTTTAAGCAATAAATAAAAAAAAAATTTTAAGCAATAAATTAAGCAATAAAATTTTTTTTTCTTGTCTCAAGTTTTTTATTTTTTTATTTTTGCTATAACTTTAAAAATATTTAGTAAAATTAAGCAAAATTTTTGGAGCAATTTAAAATAAATTACAAAATTATTGTTTTAAAATATGAAAAAAAAATTGTTTTTAAAAATGCGCGAGATATTATGCAAGAAATGCGCAATATGAGTATTTAAAGTAGTTCCTTTGTACGGTGTACGGTGCATGCGCAGAAAAAAGTGTAAAATTATTTCTTCATAATTTTGTAGTGAATCGTATTCGGCAACTAAGGGAAAAATCTCATATAAATATCTTAAAAGTGTAAGAAGTTTCAAGCCGTTTTCTAAATAGTTTTTGTACTTTTTAAAAGAAAGTTCAAAACGATTAGGGATTTTCCACATATTTAATTTTCTTTTTGCTGTCCAGTCATTGTAGGGTACTGTAATTTACAACACTACACAATGAAATTTGTGAAAAACTCCCGATTATTTTGAGCTTTCTTTTAAAAAATACGAAAACTACTTAGAAAATTGCTTGAAACGTTTTACATTTTACGATATTTAATCAGATTTTTTTCCATAAGTTGCCAAATACGATTCACTACAAAATTATGAAAAAATAATTTTAAATTTTTTCTGTGCATGCTCAATACAAAAGAACTACTTTAAATACTCATATTGTGCATTTTTTTAAATCGAATTTTATTCAAAATTTAAAACAATTTTGTAAGTAATTTTAAATTTCTCCGAAAATTTTGTTTCATTTTACTGAATATATTTAAAGTTATAGCAAAAAATCATGAATAATTTTTTTTTTTTTTTAATAAAAATGTTCATATTTGCATAAATATTATATTTAAGCTAGATTAACGAAATTTTATGCAATCATTGCAAATAACAACCAAAGTAATCTATACAAGTTATAGTTTGTCTACGGTACGAACTCCTCCCGCCACAAAGTCTGAGGCGGTCTGCTGCTGTGTAAACAAGAATAGCGCATTTCAGGGAGGGTAGCTTCTCTTTACTCTAGGGCTAACACAATAGACCGGAGAAAAAGATACCCTTTTTTTCGCCGAATCCCACACCCTTACTTGAAATAGTTATACCTTTTTAGCATAGTAACCGCCACTGGTCCTGACGAATGGCTAGGGGAGTTCTTACTTTCGACAAACTATACATTCTTATTGCGTGATTTTTTGGCATAGAGTATTCAAAAATACTTGCTTTCTTTCATAATTTATTGTCGCTTTCTCAAACCTTTAAAAGATTTAAACTTTATTGCAAACTATGAAAAATCGTCTGAACTAAAAACTTCTAAATTTAAAAAAAAAAATAAAATCCTCCAAGTATTTCGAAATTAAAAAAAAAATATCAAAAACTGAAACTGTCTCTTCCATTATTGTAGGGTAGTGTATATAACTACATCATTCTAATTTTAGGAGGGGTAAAATTAACGATCTGAAAGTAAATAACATAAATACATTAAATTTTAAGAAAGACGAACGAAGTAAATCCTAGATTGTATCCAAAAAGTCGTTTTCTTTGCTCAATCAACAAGAAAATATTTTCGATAAAACCAGACGATTTCTAAAAATGCGTTAAAAAATATTTTCAATGTGTTAAAAAATTCGCTTAACTTTCTGAATTAAGTACTAGAATGTTTTAGAGAGTGCTCAAAATATAAAATGGATTACCCTTAATAACTTTTGATCTAATGATCGGATCATTCTTAATGATTGGAGAGGGTGATCTCATATGCTAAATAACTAGTGCAGGCGATATTTTAAGTTATGAAATTAGACAGAAAAACATACTTTCTTTGAATAAATATGCCTATTTTTCAATGGATTTAGATTTCTGACCTTCACAAGCTGCAATCTAAGAACAATGGTCTCAATAGTTTGGTCAGGAGAGCGATCCAAAGTTTGGACGCCGTATTATTAATTTTACCTTTTGCATATTTCGCCATAACTCAAGAATTTTTTAAGCGATTTGAAAAATGCTTGCACACTCTTATAAAATTCATTTAACTAAAGACAATTTCATGCAAAAATTAACTTTTAATAAATATTTATCATTTCTTATTTTATTTAATACTAGTCAAAAACTTTCGGAATCATAAGATATACAATTTTTCACATCATTTTAACGAATGTAATTTTGCATGGTAAAATGTGAAATTCGAGTGAAATCGGTCGAATAATCGAATTTTTAAAATACGACTTTTTTGAAATTCTATTCGGACATACTGCCCATATTTTGGGGGTCAGAAATCCGAATCCGTCCAACAAAAACGGTCTGTTTATTCAAAGCAAATACGTTTTTGTGTCTAATTCCGTAACTTAAATTATGGTCTGCACTAATTAATTTTCTAACTGTCTTTGAACAGGCGACCCAATTTTTTGGGTTTACGTCTGCTAAGGAATCTGAGATGGCCTCCCATCCAAAATGAAAACTTCATATATGTGGTACATGTGTATCAAGTTTTATGCTTCGATCATTAAAGGCGCGATTACTTCAATTATTTCACCAATCTATCGGAGTTTAGATGTTTATTATTTGTGGCGGATTTTCCAAATCCACGCCTGCTATATCAATAATAGAAGTATTCGTTTTCAATTCGAAGCAATTACTGAATATACTAATCACAAGTGATAGAGCCGTGATGGCTCAAGGGATAGAGCCTTCGCCTTCCAATGAGGTGAACCGGGTTCAAATCCCAGCGATGGCTAGTCGATACGAATCCGCATCCGACTTGCCCCGACCACAGTTCTGACGCGAAATATCCTCAGTGGTAGACAGACAGTGGGTTAGAGTCCCTTTGCAGTCAAGCTAACCGTGGGAGGTTCTCGTGGTCTTCCTCTCCATGTCACGCAAATGCGGGTTAGTTCCATCAAAAAGTCCTTCACGAAGGCAAATTTCTCCTAATACCTGTCTTCCGGATTGGATTTAAAATTACAAGGCTACGGCGTTGAACATTAGTAGTCGCAAACCCAATTTTTGGGTTTGCGACTACTAATGTTTCAAGGACGTTTAACGACTTTTATTAAAAAAAACAAACCCGCTATGTGAGTGAAGCAAAAAGGTGCGACCACATCACGAACCTTTATTTAATATAGCATACCAGGGAGCAGTTTGTTTATTTTTGCTGACAAGGGAGAAGAGCGAGGAGTAAGACATTAAATTTCCCTTATTTTAAACATTTTCTTAAAAAACAAAATAAAAAAAATTTACGCACAGAAATTTTTAATTATAGGGCACGAAAGAACTATCAACTATTTCATCAAGAATTTCAGAGAACCAAGAGAACGTAGAAGATTCGTAAAAATTATTCTACTCAAAATTTTCTAAAATGAATTAAAATTTCGTTTTAAGCAAGGTGTTAAAATTAGATTAAAACAGTAAGCAAAGAGTGGATTCTTACTTCTCTGTGTGCGTGTTGAGCTAGCATGTTGTCCATTTCCAGTATGGAAGACAATCGTGAATACCTTGTAATGAAACTAGGTTGGTATGTTGTCATGTGAACTGAAAAAGAAATCATATACAATGCTTGCAATTATAAGTGGCCACTTTCCTAATTTTGCCTTAGATCAGATGTTATAAAAAACTAATACTTTTTTTTTTATTTTTTGTTTTATTCATTATATTTTGTTTTATTCATGTCATTCAGATGATAACAACAAGCTTTCAAAAGTGCTACTTCGATCCTTAAAAACATTTCAGTCGTAACATTAAAATGCAAAATGGCACATTTAAATGACGCTTCAAGCTTATATTTCTGAAGACAATAAAAATAGGTTCAATACAGTAACAGGGTGCGTAGCGTTTTTAAAAAGTGCTAAAAGGTGCTTATTTTTGATTTACATTTTTAAAAGCCTTTGAAGGTACTTTTTTTTTAATTCGGGATTTGTAAAAAGTGCTTAATTTTCAATCTTTTAAAAAGAGATTTTTTCTTGCCGTGTCGATTGTCGTTCTAAATTTAAAAAAGTTTATACAATTTTCTGTGCAATATTTATCAGAAACTAGTTATTTTATCATGATCATGTGAAGTTTGTAAAAATGTTGATACTAAGTTCATAAATTAAGAACTTTAAACGATAAAAAAAATTTTTTTATTACCGGCACGTATCCCAATTATGACAAAAGTATAATAAAAAAAATTGATTATTTTTTAATTATGGACTATTTGTATCTAATTTTTAAAAATCTACCAAGAGGTCATTACATAAAATGCATATGAAAACTATTTGTGTACGTACTCATTTCAAATACTTGTATGGGTAGGGTGATACAGTCAGAAGTGATTTCATCACACTGACCAGGAACAGAACAGACACTGTCCACTGGTGGGAGCACCAAGATGAAAGTCACATTCTCACTTAGCTCGATCACCTCCACATCATAATACCTGCGAAAGAATTCATTTAAGGATATCACCTACAAAAGTATTGTCCCTGGTCAAACTATTGGACGCACTATAAGTATCTATGTACAATCTTAATTATCAGATGATACTATACAGCTTTGTTGTTTTTACGAGGCTGAAACCGGTTTTCACTAGTTAACGTTCGCGTATCAAATGGTTAACGTTGTAATGCAATACGTTCAAAATAAATACAAATAGGAAGTATATAAAAATCTCCTGAATAAAAACCCATCACATGTATGTTTAAATATAAAAGAACTGCAGATAAACTCGTGCAAAACATGTAATTATGTATTAAAAAACTACAGTGCGTCTAATAATTTGATCTAATTATTACAATATAATAATATAATACCTGATATAATAAATATTCTATGTTTATATAATATATCGTCTAATTTATTCAATCGTCAAATTTATATTATATATAGCCTAATTTAACCAATTGATACGCGAACGTAAACTAGTGCAAACTGGTTTTGGTCGCGTAAAAACAATAAAGCTGTATAGTATCACCTGATAATTAAGATACCTGATAATTTTCGTAGAATCTTATAGTGCGTCTAATAATTTGGCCAGAGAATGTAATTTTAAAGAAAAATGGTAATGGTAAACCCAGATAATTCAGTTAAACTCAGAGTAAACAATCAAGTTTCAAATTACTGGAAAAATTCTTTTTTGAATGCAGACAAATTCTGAGATGGTTACTCTTAATACGCTGTAAGTTCTCTCTTCCATTAATTTGTTTGCATTTTGAAACTTCGTAACTTATTCTAAGTTTACCCAAACTCGTAACTATTTCTCAAATTGTAATTTACAAATGGTAGGGAAACAGAATTCGCGATGAAAAGTTTCTCCCGCGGTTGGTTGACCCTGTAAAGCTAAGCGCAGATGACGCTGGGGGTCAAAATTCGCCGAAAGACTTTCGGGTTACTACCTACTTCCGACTGAATTTTACGCCTGAGCTTGAAAAAACGCGCCATCCAATATTATTATACTTGTAGTGTCTTCAATGTAACGCGTTTTTTCAATTTAGCTTGCAACGAAAGCAACACCAAATGAATTCGCAATGAAGTTTGCTATGATGATACCCAAAATAGAACAAACGGCACTGTTTTATTCAAATATAGCCAAATAAGGGATAAGACTCAAAACATGGCAAAGCTTACTCTTTATTTATGCTGTTATATTAATTTTGTTAAATTTGTTTTAGGCTGACGACCTGTTAGAATTAACTTGTTCAGAACTGGAGGTAGGAAAAAGAAGTGTTAATCCAGGCTTCGAGAGTATACATATTTCTGTTAAGCCTAATTTCATAATTGCAATTAAGTACGCCGAAAAGTATACTTGTTTATATCTGAATATACTGTAATAAAATGTTCGTTATACATTTAAAAAAAATAACGATTGCAAATCTTTCCTAAAACTGAAGCAAAATATTAACCAGCGAGCCCCAAACTGCTCCCAATATGCATTATTCCACTCGTTTTCACTCTGTCAAAATATAAACATAAAAACAAGAGCAGCTGTTTAAATACCCCGGATCAAAAAAAGAAGCGGAACCACCAATAGCGTGAGATATTAAAACAGACTCAACCACCCTTTAGTATCGTTTAAATATTGGCGTTTCAAACAGAAAGTCAATGCGGGTGCATTTGCATGGATTCTAACGAGGGAATCGCGTGTCACGATCCTGAAGGGGGGTTAAAATATAATGAATACAAACCTGTGGAAGTCTATCACATTTTCTGGAATGTCCAACTCGGTCAACAACTGCTTAGTAGCTGCCGAAAGCAATTTCTGGAATTTCATTTGGACTTCATTTGGTCCACTTCCACTCCCCGAGGAGAGACTTTTGAACCACTGCCATTCCTCACTATGGTGGAAACAAAAATAGATCAACTATCTCTCACTACTATAGTGTAGCTTTCAGGAGAACTCCTCTAGACATCAGTCTCGCGTCGTGGCGGTTACCATGGTTACGAGGAAAAGTCACTTCGAATAGGGGTGTGGGGTGAATAGTTTTGTCTTGATCTAGGCATAGGTCAGCGTGAATAAGTCAATCAACACCTTTATTCCTCCATTGCACCCCCATTAGAAATGTGCTCTCACTTGTTACCATAGCAGCAGACAGCGCTAGATTTTTAGTCCGGAGGAGTTCTCCTCAAAGCCGCACAATTAAAATACACTATTACGATAGAGAAAGTGTTTTACCATGAAACGTGCGGGTTGTCCCTGATTTTGGCATGGGGCAAGACATTTGGCGTCATTCTTGGCACAACTACCCGTATAGCATCAACTGAGCTCTTTAGCTTCATGTATCCGACGTAGAGGCCCTTCGGTAATGGTTTATTGCTTACTTCACTGTACACAATCATCTCCTAGAAATCATAATAAAAATATGAGTTTTTAAACATTTGATTTCTCAGGAACTACTCGACCGACTAGTTCCGATCAAGTTTTGTTATTTTGTCATGTTTAATTACAATTCTTTAAATTGATGTAAAAAATTGTATACCTTACAATTCAATCTTTTTTTTTTTGACTATTTGTAAATAAAATAAAAAATATTTAATAAACGTCATGTTTTGCATGGAATTATTTTTGGATAAACAAATTTTATAATTGCATGCAAATTTTTTATTAAAAAAACTTGCAAAAAATGTTTACGAGATATAAAATATGCGAAATATGCGAAGTAAAATTAACATTCAGGGGTCAAAGTTTTGGATCGCTCTTGTTACCAAAATATGAGAAACCTATTTTCCAGATTTTGAAGTTCTAGAATCTAAATCTGTCGAAAAAAAGGATATGCTTAGTCAGAGAATGTACATTTTTGTGTCTGGTTTCGTAACTAAAAATATCGAAACTCCTTTTTGAAAACGTCTCTAAACTCGATTCGAATTTTTTTTTTAAAAAAGAAAAAAAAAAGCTGAATTAAGAGAACACCTCAAAGTGGATAAAAAGTAAATAACTTTATTTTTCCTGTTTTCTGATGACACACTTAACTCATTCTATTCTTTTAATATCATTTTTCAAAAAATTTAAACAAAATAAAGTTTTAATGTATAATTTTCAAATTGTGTTATACGTATTTGTCAGATTAAGCTGACATTTAACAATAATATTTGTCTGACTGCCTTGAGATTTTATGTCTGACAAATTTGCCTTTATGAAGCCTTAATTCTACATTTTAAACACCGGAAATCCTAATTCTTCAGAAGGAAATTTTGCATTCCAAATCAGAAGTGGTAAAATTCACCGGGACATTTTATATTTACAATTTTTCTTCTTCTCGGCCTATGTGGATTAATAATTGTAAATTTGTGCTTGTTTTCGAAATATGCATACTTCGTACATGCTCAGACCACACCTTAGTTCTCTCTCTCTCCGTATGCCTGTTTAGGCAGAGGGGTACGATTGTTCTTGTTTTCCAGTGGCGCCATCTATGGCCATGAATTCGACCTCTGCCACACCCTTACGTCACACCCGTTTACAGGGCGGATCTATTCATACATCCCTTCATTCATCCACAGATCGTAATTTTGACCTGAACCAGAGAACGATCGATCTCTAATCCAGTACCCCAAAGATATGGGAACATGGAGGACTTTGCGACTCGACAGATTTAACGTGCATCAGTCACCATTTACAACACGGGAGTCTTCGGCCGGCGGGGTTTGAACCCACGAGCTCTCGAACATGGGCCCAGCGCCCTACCGACAAGGCTATCTTGGCCTCACACCTTAGTTGAAAGATATAATTACCTGGAGAGAGTCCAGAAGTAGGTCGTGTACACTGTCTGAGTTGTTGGCTCTCTTCCTCTGGATTTTGTGCAGAGGTGACCATCTGACAGATAAGGAAGCCGCCATGGATTTGGGATCCTGGACATGCTTCACAGTACATAAGACTGTTGTGCCTTCAGAGTCCTTGAGTGGGACGTAGAAAAGTTGTCCGAGATCTTGTAGTCCAAGTGCAGCCTGCAGAACAAAACATTTCATTTGTTACTTCATAGTTCCCATCAAATCAATAGGTGCACATTAACTATGACTGATGCAAATCGAAGATAAACTACAATCAAAGTCTTTCATAGCAGGCATTGTAAATAATAATTATAATATTATAATTATATTAATGAGGAGAGTATTTATATGTAATTATTTATATTAAGATGGAGAGTATTTATATATAATATGAATTGTAATATTATATATAAATACTCTCCATCTTAAAGAGGAGAGCAGTCGCAAGACTTGGCGAGGAATAGAAAAAAAAATTTTTCAAGATCCCTAAGAAGATCACTCGTGATCCTGGTCAAGATACTAATCACTTGTGATTTTTTATTATAACCGTCGTTGAATAGCCGACAAAATTTTTGATTTTACGACTACTAATGTTCAACTTCGTAGCCTTGTCATTTTGAACTCAATCCAGAAGACAAGGGAACTCCTGGATCGAGTATTCGAAGAAATTCGCTTTCGTGGTGAACTTTTAGATGGAACTAACCGGCATTTGCGTTATACAGAGAGGAAGACCACGAGAATCTCCGACGGTTAGCCTCACGGCAAGGGGAATCTAACCCATGATCCGCCTACCACTGAGGATATTTCACGTCAGCACTGTGATCGGTGCAAGCCGGATGCGGAATTCGTATCGACCAACCATTACCGGGATCCGAACCAGGTTTATCTCATTAGAAGACGAACGCTCTATCCCCTGAGCCATCGCGGCTCTATCACTTGATACTAGTATCTTCAAGATTTGCTTCGAATTTGTTTCTTAAGAACGTACACTTTTATTATTGATATAGCAGGCGTGGATTGGGAAAATCCGCCCAGAATAGATAAACATCTAAAGTCCGATAGATTGGTGAAATAATTGAAGGAATTGCGCCTTTAATGATAGAATCATAAAACTTGGTACGCATGTACCACACATATGAAGCTTTAATTTTGGATGGGAGGCCATCTCAGATTCATCCCATAATAATAATGGAATGTGATCAAAATGGCGACCCATTAAATGTTTGATGAGCTTTTTTTTAAATATTTTTTGTTGCTGATAATTTTGAATGATATCTGTTAAATAAATACTACTTTGGATATTTTTTGCATTTTTGGGGAAAGTGAGGTAATATGAGGGAGAGAATTGTATTTCTTCTAGCTACAGGCAAGCGAGGCATTGTTTCCGATGCACTTTTTTATGTTGAGGCCAATCTTGAAATGATGGAACTAAGAGTTTAGGCTCTAGCTATGTTTTAAAATGGCAGAGGAAAGATTCAAATGAGAGATATTTAGAAAAGGATTTCACCGTTAAAAACAGGAAACGGGACTTCTGTATTACACCATTTCTTATGGCAGTAGATCTTCCAGATATCTCATTTTAAATTGGGAAATAATATTGAGAAATTTTGTTTTGATTGTCGGAGATGCGATTCTTTTAAAAGATAATTAACTTCACGCTTTAGGGATAGTGCGATTTAAAGGCAAATTTTCGTTTGTTGTCTATGATTATATTTAGAGTCCTATGTGATTTGAAAATGCACATTGATTACGGAACACTCTTTATATTTCACTCAGTTATTGGTTGTACTAATTATATTATATTATCCTTCCTTCCTCAATGGCACGACAGCCCCGGGTGGGCCCTGGCCTTCTCAATCAACTTCCTCCAGGCCTGCCTCTGCCTGGCAGTTGTCTTCCAGTTTGAGACTTATTTATTATATTATAATTATAATATTATAACCGTTGTTGAACAATTGACCTAATTTTGGGTTTACGACTACTAATGTTCAACTCCGTAGCCTTGTAATTTTGAACCAATCCAGAAGACAAGGGAACTCCTGGATCAGTACCCCCAGAGGTATGATTTGCTATGGAAACATGGAGGACTTTGAGACTCGACAGATTTAGTGTGCATCAGTCACGATTTACTACACGGGGAGTCTTCGGTCGGTGAGGATCGAACACATGACCTCTTGGACATGGTCCCAGTGTCCAAATAACCAGGCTATCCCGGCCCTGGCTGTACTAATTGTAAAAAGAAGTCTAGTTTAATTTTCCCACTCTCCACATTTTCCCTTTCTTTTCCGTGGTTTCAGCATGTCTTGTTTCTTCCCCGGCACAGTATACTCCAGTTACTTACTGTTACGTACTGACGCGGAGAAGAAAAAAAAAGCAAAATTTGCCGTTACCATGGCAACAGGTTGGGGAAAAGTGAGGACATCAATTTTATTTACAAAGAGTATGGAGTAGGAATGATGCTAAAACGCTAAACATTATTAGCTTCTCGATATAAGGATATTAAAGTAGCTATAAACTGAGTCTGACTTTCAGACTTACCTGCATTTGCTCAGCGGCTTGCAATAGTTTGCTTCTAAAATGAAGATTTGATGATGAATGACTTTTTTCCATGTCTTGTCTCAGAGTTTTCACATCTTCCCACGAGCTGCATGCTACCTGAAATGTTTATTTAAAAGAAACATTTGGTTAAATAAGTAAAGATGGAAAAAAAAACATTGTTAAGGTCTGGTTTCTTAGGACAAGCGCCTTATATGGGCGTCAGCGGGACGTCAACGTCCCGCTGACGCCAACAAAATACTGGTTTGTTAGCTTAAGGCCTGGTTTCTTAGAACTAGCTCCTTATCTAGGCGTCAGCGGAAAGTTGACGTAGAGCTGACGCCAAAAAATATTTTTTTTGTTAGCTCAGCGTGAGCAGTCGGCATATCTTTCATTGCGCATGCGTTAATAACGTAAACAAATACTTATTTTGAATTTGTATTGACTTTGTTTTTGTGGACCAGTGTTTTAGAGAACAAATAATGACTTCGCCCAGGAAAAAACACATTATAGCTGAGCTAAATGAAGGGTGCTATGTTTAATGAAGAAGCTATGTTTAATGTCAAAATCAAAATCTTGGCTGATTTCAATGTGCTGTTGGATGTTGTCCGCCATTGCTTCTGTGGTTAACGTCACACTGTAATCCAACTGCAGTTGAGTTGAACGGCAATTGTAGTTCAAGATGACCGTTCGATGACGCATACTATCAAACGCACAAATGGACCAATCAGAGGTTAGCGCTGATTTCCAGCTGACGGCGTCCTGTCCTAAGAAACCAGGCCTTTAGTTTTTATATTGCTAACGAGTTTGCATCGACACAAAAAGAAAGAAAAAAAATTAACGTGCTTAAGACCGATGTTTATAAAAAACCAATTGCAAAATCGACCATCCAAAACAAACGAAATACTACCTAGTAAACCTCAAATGTCTACACCTACATAAATCATTCCATCCAACTACTTTTTTAAAATGTAGCGACTACGAACTACTTTCGAAACGTAGTCAAAGCTACTTTTTCGCTACTTATAGAAGACAAACATAACTGGAGAACTTCATTTTCACCAACATTCAAGATGATTTTGAATAAAAAAAATTGGGTTGGTTACATCTGAGGAGATATTAAGAAGTTTTAATTCATGCTGACATGAAATAGTTTTTTTTATTTTTTATTCTGAAGCACTTTTTTACGAATTTGTTCTTTCAACCTTCAAACTCTATACTTTTCTCGACGCTGATTTAAGAAATGCTGAGAAATTATCAAATATTTGTAATTTAAGTGATCAATATGATTTGTGATTTAAGTGATCTTTTTTATATTCCCCAAGAAATACAGTAGGGGGTGAAAAACAAAAACGGACTACTATTTTTTTTTTTTTTTTTTTTTTTTTTTTTTTTTTTTTTTTTTTTTTTTTTTTTTGATTTCCTAATGATCGGATCTTCACGTTCTAGGACTCAAACTTTTGATCCTAATGATCGGATGTTCACGTTCTAGGACTCAAACTTTTGATCTAATGATCGGATCTTCACGTTCCAGGACTAGATCTTAATGGTTCCAGGGGGTGACCGCTAGACCGATTTCGCACCCATTTTTCCGAGCATCAGTGAATCTTATTAACGCTCGGTCACAGAGGCATTCTCATTGCGTACGTTGACGCGCACGCGTGGGATTTGCACAAATCAGATTCGAAAAATGTTTTTGCGTTTGAACTTAGTTTCTTTATTTAACTCACGCTAAAAGTAGTTGCCAGTAGTCACTAGTAACTACTGTTTTTTTTTTGTAGCGCACTATGCTACAAACTACGGAATAAAGTGGCGACTACAGTAGTTTCGCGACTTGTAGCTGATAGAGAGTATCTTGAAATCAGAGAGCATTGCGGAACATAGAGTGTAACGTGGGACAGTATTGCGGGGTATAAACAGTAAAGAGAGTATTTTGGAGTTGTGTGACTTAGATAGCTTAGACCATTATGAAATTCGAGAGTGTGTTGGGGGACATAGATAGCTTAGACTATTGTGAAATTTGAGAGTGTGTCGTGGGGCATGGCTTAGAGCATTGTAAAATTAGAAAGTGTGTCGTGGGACATAGATAGCTTAGACCATTGTGAAATTTGAGAGTGTGTCGTAGAACATAGCTTAGAGCATTGTAAAATTAGAAAATGTGTCGTGGGACATAGATAGCTTAGACCATTGTGAAATTTGAGAGTGTGTCGTGGGACATAGATAGCTTAGATTATGTGAAATTCGAGAGTGTGTCGTGGGACATAGATAGCTTAGACCATTGTGAAATTCGAGAGTGTGTCGTGGGACATAGATAGCTTAGATCATTGTGAAATTCGAGAGTGTGTCGTGGGACATAAATAGTGGATAATTACTTTCATGATCCAATGGAAATCTGTGTTGAGAGGTGAAGTTTCATCCACTTCTAGAATGGGAAGTGTGTCTTCGGCTGTCACGATCATTCTATCCTCATGATACAACAAACACGCTAGGAATACACCCCTGAAAACAAATACAATTCTATTCAAACACTATTCTATTTTTATTTTTCATTTTTACAAAGAGGTAGAATGCGTACCTTTTCATATTTTTCTGAAACTTGGGTGCCGAAGTGAAGAGGTGTTTTATACTTTTCCGCACCTGTCTTCTCTGCTGCTGCGGAGTATCAGAGAGATCTGAAAATATTTTCTATTTCAATATATTCCGATAACATTCCTTTCATTTGAGTACATTTTAAATTTGTAGCAGTTTAGTACCACATGTTACACAAAAATAGGGCTGTTTTAATATCTGACATAAACTCTGCTTAAGATCAAAGCATTTTAAGATCAAAGCATTTTAAAACAAAGCTTTTAAAAGAGCAGGTACTGAGGATGGAACGTGAATAAAGTTTTTTCTTCTTCTTAATCTTACTATATACGTAATTACTAAACATATAATTCAAAAAAAAGAAAAGTCAATTACTACTTAGGTCAACAAAGAAACATTTCATTTTAGTTATTTTTTATAAAATAATTACAATTTTTTCACCCATATTGTCATCTACAACAAGTTTAAAAAAATGTATTTGAACTCGAATGGATAAATAATAAAGGTAATGTTTCCCTATAAGTATTTTTGCATCCCTAATTTAACAGTGTTTACCTGTACTGTTATTATTACGTTTTTGACTTTATTTTTTTCTCTCCTAAATTACGACTTTAAGAGGATTGTTTTTATTACTATTGTTAGAATAATACGATTCTATGTTACATTTTAAGATAAAGTTATTTAAATCGGTGTCTGAACTTTTTACAGTTATTATTCTTTGGTTTCAAATTGCATTAATATACTGTTATGAATTGCGGTAAAAAAGAGATTCGTTAAATGAACTAGAGATTAACTTTCTGCTTCAAGCAGAAAGAGATGAAAGCAAAAATTGTATTTAAAATATACCAAAGAGCCATTTCATTATGACCACCCTCCATCTATAACAATGGGCTATCCCAGGTTTTCATGGTTTCTCGCCCAGGAACAATGTTTTCATGGGGCACATTAGGACCCATAATTCTCATAGAACAATCCCTGACGTCTGTAAGCTGCTTGAACGTAGTTGCAGACCAGGTTCACTCTTTCATGGCAACAGTTTTTCCTGCGGGGGATGGTGTTTACCAACAGGATAATGCATCATGTCATAACGGTCGAATCGTCGAGGAACATTCCAGTGACTTTCAAGTCATGTCTTGGGCCCCAAATTCACCTGACCTTAATCCAATAGAGCATTTGTGGTCCTACTTGGAAAACCAAATTCGTGCTGCCACGCTACACACTCGTAAGTGAGGGAATTGCAGGACCAGTTGGTGAGCGCTTGGTACCAGATACCTCAGACTACCTATCAGCACCTTGTGGAATCAATGCCACGGCGGGCGCTAGCAGTTATGAGGGCTAAAGGTGGTCCTACATGTTATTAGCAGGGTGGTCATAATGTAATAGCTCTTCGGTGTACATCCGTTCGTTTGGTAAGAAAAAAATATTAAATTACAGTTGCGAGCTCACCACTAATTTGTTAAAACAATATACTTTTAATTGCAAATGTTAGTTCAAAAAATGATTACTTGAAAAAATGATTACTTGAAAAAATGATTTATGTTCGCTAATCGATCTTAATATTATGGGCATGGGCAGTGGCGGGACAAGTGTTCTTTTTAGTTGAATAATTTCACCTGTTTCATGCCAAGAAATAGCAATTACTGCGAAGCAATCATCGGGGTTGGTGAGCAATAGCGAACAGGGGGTAATTTGGTAATCTTAAAAAGTGCCTTCGGGCTAATTATGTTTTTTATCTTCTTTTTTTTAAAATGTTAGCCAGAGCCTTGATGTTTCAGGGGATAGAGCGTTCGCCTTCCAATGAGGTGAACCGGGTTCGAGTCCCAGCGATCACTGGTCGATACGAATTCCGCATCCGGCTCGCACCGACCACAGTGCTGACGTAAAATATCCTGAGTGGTAGATGGATCAAGGGTTAAAGTCCCCTTGTCATCAAGCTAACCATGGGAGGTTTTCGTGGTTTTCCTCTCCATGTAAGGCTAATGCAGGTTAGTTCCATCGAAAAATCCTCTACGAAGGCAAATTGCTTCCCATACTTGTTACAGGAGTTGCATTGTCTTCTAGATTGGGTTCAAAAGTACAAGGCTACGGAATTGGACATTAGTAGTCGTAAACCCAAAATTTAGGTCGGCTGTCGAACGACGGTTATAAAATGTTAGCAGGTGTTGTATTAAACAACAAATTCTTTTTTAATAACAAATTCACGATATTCTGTCAAATCTTAAAATATCCTATATATTTAAACAGCATTATGCTACTCATTTCAGATACTATGGTGTTATGTTATTTTTCCATAATACCTTCCTTTGTCGCTCCCCCCCCGTCTTTGTAAAATATTTGTTCTACAAATAATACTACAGATAATTAACAGATTGAAAGAGGTTTCTAAAATCCTCTCACCTTTAATCTCGCTGGCATTTCCAGGCCTCGAGTTGATGATCTGGTGAAAGAGGTCCTCCAATTTGCTGTTACGTCCTCCTGCAGCAGAGCGAGGAACTTTACCCTCCAGGTCACGCCAACCTACAATAAAATGTTGCTCATTGTCTTTATTATATTTTGACCATTACATGTTGTTACAACTTGTAGGATCTATTACATAGAAGTTTGGAAGCGAAAGTAAGTCTAAGTTTCAAGTATTAAAAATAAACCAATATTGAGTTCCTTTTTTTGCCGCATCCTTCTACTTACCGATTTCCCTCTTTGAAGCTTGCCGCTTGGAAAGTCTTAAGGCCTGGTTTTTTAAGACAAGCGCCTTCTCTGGGCGTCAGCGGGAAGTTGATGCACCGCTGACGCCAACAAAATACTCTTTTGTTAGCTCAGCGTGAGCAGTCGGTCCAACGCAGACAATATCTTGCATTGCGCATGCGTTAATAACGTAAACAAACATTTTGTCCAAGAAAAAACACATTATAGCTTAGCTAAATGAGGAAGAAGAGGAAGAAGAAGCTATATTTAATGTTAAAATCAAAATCATGACTGATTTCAATGCTCTGCTGGATGTTGTCCGCCTTGCTTCTGTCGTTAACGTTACGTTGTAATCCAACTGTAGTTGATTTGGACATCAGTCGTCGTTCAAGCTGAGCGTTCGATGACGTATGCTGTCTCACTCACAAATTGACCAATCAGGGGTTAGCACTAGCTTCATGCTGACGTTCTGTAACGCCGACTTGTCCTGAAAAACCAGGCCTTTAGTCTGCTAGGCGCCTGTTGCACGTGCATGTTGGCTTTTTGATCAACACGTGCGATGTTGTCATTGTTTCGGTTTAGGTGTAACAAGCCTCATTTCACTGAAACAAATTCAAGTAGAACGTTGATTTTGGGGAAGAAACAGGCACCTGTATAAATTCGGAGACATCCCGCGATGAACGCGTTCCCACTATGACCACAAGTAGATAAAATTTTCCATTTTTGATTTCTCTATACTCTTCGGATGGAGTTGAATCGTGATGCATCGTCGCCTGAGAAAAACGTCCTTTGCTGATCTGCCACGTTCTCTAGATGTTGCCGACCTTCAGTTGTCTGAATAGAGTGCACTACCTGCAGTGGGTTTTTCATTTGAATAGCCTTCTTGGGGAGAAGCAGCTCTCTCGCCATCTTGTTGTGAATAATCCTGCTATCCCCAACGATGCCTGAGCTCGACATTATTTTCTTCAACATGCGACTCTCAGCAATATAATTAGTTATTGCCCATCGAAAAGAAAAGGGGGTATATTTTGTTTTGCAGCAATCTGTTTTCTTAATAATATACTATTCGCGATGGCAACGCTCGAACACGTAATTTAGGAAGAAAACCGGTTCCATGTCTTGACCACCCTCTTCTCAAGGAAAGAACAACGATATTTTCCTCTTTCTTGATATTTTTCGTATTTAATTATCAAAAACATTTTTTAAAATTCCCACGACGCTTTCTTTTAGAGCTATGTTTAATGTAGTTTTGATTAATCATATGGTTTCCTGACCTATAAGTTTTTAATCTATTTGAAAATCAAGACAGAAACTAACGTTCTTCCATCTCTTAAGACTCTCCACACGCTAATTGTGAAAACGTGCGAAGTATTCTAATAGGTAGAGAGTTCTGCTCTACACCACCTGTAGCCCATTTCGATCGCCAGTGGACAACTTTCTTCCCACCCCAAAAAATGATGAGTAAATTCTATAAAGAAAACAAGCCTTTATATTTGACGTGATAATTTTCTGGACTCTTTTTTTTCTTCTTCTTTTTTTCCATCGATAAATCTATGATCGATGATCTAGATCAGGGGTGTCAAACTCAAAAGCTAACTTGGGCCAAATAAACAATGCTTAACTTTAGGTGGGCCGCAAAAAAAAATCAATGTTCATCGAAACAAATAGTTTTATTTTGAGTAGTACATTCTAATAAACATGTATAAAGTTAAATTATTGCTGACGTTCTGATACTTCACATCTCTTCTCTGCTACTATCTTTTCTATTTCGGGAGAAATTTTATAGGCCGAGACTACTTTCAAAATTGACCAAATGTGAGCGTTATTAATACGATTTCGGACAGGAGATTTATTTCCATTCATAACGGAAAATAATTGCTCTCACTGATAAGTACTTCCAAACATGGAAATAATTTCAGATGCGAGTTTTCGCGTATTTTTAAACCTTGCCGGTAAATATTCGTAAAATTCAAGCACACCCACTTCAATGAATTTTGCCTTCAACTTTGAGTCTCACTGAATCTCAATCACTTCCATTTGCATACAACTGGATACTGATTCTATATTTATTGAGAAAATCAAACAAAACAAACAAAATTTGTCTTCCAAAGAATTATAATCTTTAAATCTTGTTTCAAATTCTGTTCTAAGATTAAAATTTTTTTTCCGCGTATTTTTTATGCGATGAAGTATCATCTGAACTAGATTTGTTCTTGTTAC